TTTTTTTTTTTTTTGCCTTTCTCTGACCCTGGAATATTTCTGGCTTGAAATGCCAGAAACTGTAAACGTAGCAACGTCTCTATTCTTCTCTGAACTCTTTTGTCTGGATCTGCGTCTATTTCTAAACTGTGAAGCCTGCAAGGGATCGACACCACTCATTCCTCCTAAAGTACCATGGACGCAAATAGAACCACAAATAAATAATGACCTAACCAATTTCTAAACAGACACATAACCACAGAGTAAAGCCCCGAATGAAGCTTTTCCAAACTACTAGGTGTAAACCTATAACCTGCAGTTTGATCCTGACTGGCTCAAGGTTGACTCGGTCTTCTATCCTTCCTTCCAAGGTCGGTAAAATCAGGACCCAGATTGTTGGGGACAATAGGCTGACTCTGTAAACCACTTAGAGAGGGCTGGAAAGCCCTGCGAAGCGGTATATAAGTCTAAGTAAGAGCTAGTGCTATTTCTAAAGGAAAAGTGGTATACGTTATCTGCAATTGACTGTTCTGATTGACTGACAGACAGACATCATCAATCTATCTCCATTTTGCTATTTTGCTAGAACAAAATGAAGATAGCTAGAGATAGACATAGACAAAGTGGAGATAGATTGATGATGGATGGATGGATGGATGGATAATGGATGGATGGTGAGAGTGAGGTGGATAGCAAAATGAAATAGACAAACAGATAGCAAAATAGAGATAGAGATAAATAAACAAAATGGGGATGACAGACAGACGGGAAAATGAAGAGAGAGAGAGAGAGAGAACAAAATGGAGAGAGAGATGGATAGATGGGTTGATAGGTAGGTGGGTAGGTAGGTGGATGGATGAATGAATAGATGAATAGATAGGGTAGGATAAGATAGGAATGGTGGGGAAGGAAGGTTGCAAACAGAGCAAAATAGAGACATATAAATAAGTAAATTGGAAAGAGATGGATGGATGGATGGATGGATGGATGGATGGATGGATGGATGGATGGATAGATAGATAGATAGATAGATAGATAGATAGATAGATAGATAGATAGATAGATAGATAGATACTGTAGGTGGGTAGATGATAGACAGGCAGAGATAAGGAATGGAGAGAGAGAGATAGCAAAATGGAGAGGGAGAGAGAAAGAGAGCACAAAATGGAGATATCAATTAGACACAGACAATCAGCCATATGGGATAAAACCTAGCCCATTATTTCTTCACATTAGCAAGTTAACTTGTCAGGGAGTTAAAGCTCAGACATCTTTAAATTGCTACGGCTAAGAAACATCGGCTAACATTAAAGAAGAATTCTGTGTGATCCAAAACTTTGCATCAAACAGTTTTTTAAAAACACACACACAAAATAACCACTTTCATCTTCATCACGGATATTTCTTTTTCTGTCCGATGATGAACAAAATGGCCACCGCTCCCACAGCCTACACAGCAATGAAGCGTTTTCCTCCTGGCCGAAAGGGACTGAATTAATTTTTACCGAGGTCCAAAAACTCCCAGTGACGGTCACCCTTTCTGCCGTTGACTAATCCCAAGCTTTCATCTGCTGTCTGAAGCTGCTCCCAGATTTTATTTCCAATTCCCCTCTCCTTTGCCAAGTTCTTGTGGTGTGGAGTCCCACTGGTCAACGCTAACCTCACCAGACACTAGTCGCTTTGTAGGCTTGCCAAGGGGCCACCCCAACACAGGATGCCCTGCAGCCACACTGCCCACTCGCCAAGGCTGGGACTTCGCATCTGGTTTCCCCCACCCCTCCTTCGACACACAACCACAGGTCTGTTCTCTCCCCCCTCTCCAGTGACGTCATCCAAGCTGGTTTCATCAGATCTTCTGCTGACTGCCAGCCTTGTGGGAAGCGTTGGAGAAAGTCTTAGGAAGAAGAAGAAAAAAGACGGGTTTGGGGTTTTATGCCCCATTTCTCCAGCAAGGACGTTTCTCTAGATCGGATCGAAGCCACGATGGATGGCTTACTTTCTGAATCAAACCTCTTTTCAAACCAGCATTGGTTATTCACATTCACGTTAACAGAGTTGGAAGGGACCTTCTAGGTCATCTATTCCAACCCCCCACACTCCCACCCAAAGCAGGAGACCCTACACCATTTCTGACAAGATGGCCGTCCAGTCTCTTCTTGAAAGCCTCCAGGGATGAAGCTCCCAAACTTCTGAAGGCAACTTCTGTTCCATGGGTTCCATGGGCTGATGATTCTCAACCTTATTTCCAGGTTGAATCTCTCCATTCATTATTCCTTGTCTGGCCTTCAGGTGCCTTGAAAAATAGCTTGATCCCCTCCTCTCTGGGGCAGCCCCTCAAATATTGGAAGACTGCTATCCTGTCTCTCCCTGGTACTTTCTTCCCTAGACTAGCCATGCCCAGTTCCTGCAACCATTCATCGTGTGTTTTAGCCTCCAGTCCTCTCATCCTCTTGGTTGCTCTTTGCACTTTTTCCTAGGGTCTCAACTTCTTTTTTATAGTCTGGTGACCAAAACTGGATGTAGTATTCTAGGTGGGATCTTACTAAGGCTTTATAGAGTGGTATTAGTACCTCCCTTGATCTCGATTGTATCCCTGTGTTAACGCAACTTAGGACTGCATTGGCTTTTTTGGCGGCTGCTGCACACTGCTGGCTCCTATTTAGACTCCAAGATACCTCTAACAGTGACTGCTGTTAAGCCTGGTTTTACCCAGTCTATATGTGTACTTTGGATTTTTCTTGCCTAAGTGTAAGACTTGACTTTTCTCTACGTTGAATTTCATTTTGTTATCTCTTGGATCTTCAAGAGAAGAAAAATGGACCTATCTTATTCTTGAGGAGTCCTTGATGCTCTCTGAGCTTAGATGTTTTCCTGTAGATGTCTCATGACCCAACTAGGGAATAGCATCAGTGCAAGAAGGGAGGGAGGTTGGAGGAGGAAGAGGAGGAGGAGAAGGACTGATGGATCCTTGGTGCTCCCTGAGCCTGGTTGTTTTCTTGTAGACATTTCACGACCCAACTACGTAACATCATCAGTGCTAGATAACAAACTAAGTGACATCATCAGGAGCATTGATGATGTCATCTAGTTTGGGTCATGAAACGTTGGCAAGAAAACAACCAAGCTCAGGGAGCACCAAGGATCCCACAGCCTTCCTCCTCCTCCTCCTCCTCCTCCTCTTCTCCACTCTCTTCTAGCACTGAAGCTATTCCCTATAAACTTTCAAGAAGAGACTGGACTGCCATTTGTCAGAAATGGTGTAGGGTCTCCTGCTTAGTGGGGGGAGATTGGACTAGATGACCCTCAAGGTCCCTTCCAACTCAGTTAATCTATAATTTAATCCGTAAACAGTTTAGAGAGGGCTGTAAAGTGGCATTGCTATTGCTATTCAGTAAGAGAAAGATTAAATTATCCTGATTTCAGTCAAGGCCTACAGCCGCTTCTACAAAAATCATGCCATTTTTCGGTCTTTCCTTCCTCCAGCGCCCCGTGGCAAGCAATCTATTCACAATATCCCAATTCATTGTGGGTTTGTTTGTTTTTTTCCCCTCAGAGTTAAAAAAGCAAATTTTTGTAAGAAGAGAAGCTGGTGAAAGGTGAATGACTTGGAGCGCAGGGAAAGAAAAACAAGGCCACTCACTTCAAAGTGTCCACGTCGGCTGTGCCTGTCACTCGAAGTCCGTAGAAACGTTGCATGGCAGCGATGGCGGCCGACACCGACTGTGGGGAACGCAGGGTGTGGGTGCGAAGGTTGCCTGGGGGCAAATACCCATATTGTTGCAGCCAGGCCTGGTGGGAAAATCAAAACAGGAACATTAAAAAAAAATCGAAACTCAAAGCCAATCGAAATGTAGACTCAGTGGCTAAGACGCTGAGCTTGTTGATCAGAAAGGTCGGCAGTTCGGCGGTTCGAATGCCTAGCACCGCATAACGGAGTGAGTTCCCGTTCCTTGTCCCAGCTTCTGCCAACCTAGCAGTTCGAAACCATGTAAAAAGGCAAGTAGAAAAATAGGGACCACTTTGGTGGGAATATAACAGCATTCCATGCACCTTCGGCGTTTAGTCATGCTGGCCACATGACCACGGAGATGTCTTCGGACAGCGCTGGCTCTTCGGCTTTGTAACGGAGATGAGCACTGCCCCCTAGAGCCAGAAACGACTAGCACGTATGTGCAAGGGAAACCTTTACCTTTAAAGCAATTTAGGTAGTCCTTGTCTTAGGTCTAAGTGATAGTGTAAAGTTACGATGGACCCGAAAAAGCTACGCACGAACCAGATTTGAGGTTCCAAGTTCTGTTCCCCCGCTTCCAGAGTTCACCTGAAATATTTTAAGTGCTCAGCAAATGTCCCACAGTTACGGCCATTTGCAGTGTGTCTCACAGTCCTGACCGTGATTTAGAATGTTTTGCAAAAGACCCCCACCCCATAGCTAACAATTGAATGGCTTAACAACCGTCACAAATAAAGAGATGTAAAATTGGTCACTGTCCCACGGTGGAGGGGAACCCTCAACAGCTATCACAACGTGCAAGCTCGGTTATGGTTGTAAATCAAGGACGGCTTGCAGACCAACGAACACTATTTTGGTTTAGTAGTTAAAGGTCCAGATTAAAAAACAGGATTTTATTGAGCTATTGAGCTATGAATGGTATCGCCTCTTAATCCCTGTTTAATCTAATCAGTGATTGACTCCAAATTATTTTAATCTGAATGAGGAACTGCTGCAAGGAACTGAAATTATTTGAGTCCTTCTTTCCTGCTCCCATCCCTGTTCATTTCCGCCAATGGTCATAAGTCACTTTGTTCAGTGTCATTGTACTTCTCAAACTAACCAGAGAATAGGATAGACTAAACTAGGGAACGGAACGGAACCAAATGGAACAGAACAGAACAGAATAGAGAAACAGAATGGAATGGAATGAAACAACAGAATGGAATAGAAAAATGGAATGGAATGGAATAGAATGGAATAGAAAAGAAAAGAAAACTGGGATGGGATGGAATAGAAGAGAAAATTGGGATGGAATGGAATGGAATAATAGAGTAGAGTAGAGTAGAGTAGAGTAGAGTAGAGTGGAGTGGAGTGGAGTGGAGTGGAGTGGAGTGGAATGGAATAGAATAGAATAGAATAGAATAGAATAGAATAGAATAGAATAGA